AGACATGGCATAGTTGGGTCAAGTATAATGATATCTGACAGTGATTAAAATCACAATCATAAAAAACGCTTCGATGCAAATCTGTATATGTTGTTTAATTTAAAAAATTGGTCGATTATTCCAAAAGCTACAAAATCTCTTATTTCCTTATATTTTATTAATTTAATAAAAAGTATGTCAAATGGAAGGAGTTGATATGAAGTATTTAGAAAAAAAAAATTTTATACATCCATACATTTTTCAAAATGTTATAGCAATTTAAGTTCAAAAGTAAAAACATGTTTAAATTATTAAATGTTACTATTCATAATTTTTGGGGGTTTTTTAGCTTTCACGCAAAACTGAGATGGTATTAATTGGTGTATTATTTTTATTGTTTTTTTTTTGTTCTAATAGTAAAATCTTCTCAAAAAAGTTTAGTCCAACTAAACCAAGTACGCGAGATAGATGGTAGACTATCACACCAAATTTTTGCAACGCCTAACAGTCTTGACAACGCAAAGTGTTGAATGGCAGCATCATCCCATTCATACAATATTGCGTACTCTTTACTGATCCACTGATCGATCGCCATTGTACTATCTACTGGGTCATACACCGGCAAAGCAACTGATAAGTCAGCCCACAAACGCATATGATTGTCACGTCCCATTGCGCTTACACCACCACTCATGGCACCATTGCTCAGCCCCACTTCATCCTTGTTGTTCAATGCCATACTTGCACACAACACAATGGGCCGCAAACCGTTATTTTTTTTTTACACTAATGCGACTTTTGACAATCTACTACACCTACTACTTGACTATTTTCGGCTCCGGACTAGCCCAAGTTAAAATTATGACGTACCGTAAAATACACGAATAATTTTCTTTGCAGACAAAATTATAATTTTTCAAACACGCGCAATTAGTTTTTTTTTCAAAAAAATTTTTGCGTTACCATGCACAATAACACAATAAAAAAATGTAATAATTTTAACGTATACTTAACCACATTCGAACTAACCTTCCACTCGTTATCCACGCGTTTACCCCACACCTGAACTCTAATAATCCTTATAAGTCTAGAAGGTACTTATTATCAAAATGAAGAACACCAACTTTAAATATAACATAAAATATAAATGTATATTACGTGTATAACAAACTAGCAACACATGACTAACGTAGGTAATTCGCACGGAGACGATAGAAGGTCAACTAACTCGCATTACCATCCATACGGATGACACAACGGTCGATCACCAGTATAGCAACGATAAGCTGACCCCTCTACTATATAAACTATATATCACAATAGTAAGTATAAAAAATTTTTTTTTAATATATTAGTTTCTATGAAATTTTGGTTACACCTTAAAAAATACAGTGTATAATTAAAATAAATAATAATCACCGGATAAAATTCCATTATTCGTTTGTTATCCTAAAAAAATTATAAAGCAAAAATCACTCTAATATGGTTGTATAGCACATTATGGGCTTTATTTTAAAAAAAGTTTTAAGTACGCATAATTTCCAAAACATTAAAATTTTTGTCGAATAAATCGCTTTGTATGCAAATACGAGGTGTGACAATTAAGTAATGAGACTGACGTTATAAAAGCCGTATATTTAAAAATTATTCAACAACTGTTCTATCCCCTTCAAAGTAGTCCCCTTGGGCAGCTATACACCGAGCCCATCGCATTTTCCACGCGTCGTAACATTTCTGGAACGCTTCAACTGGAATGTCCATGAGTACCCTCGTCACGGCCGCTTGGATCGCCTCAATCGACTCAAAATGGGTTCCTTTGACCTCCAATTTCATTCTGGGGAATAAGAAAAAGTCACATGGGGACATATCGGGCGAATAAGGCGGCTGCGGCAACACGGTGATGCCTTTGGAAGTCAAATACTGCAAAACACTGAGGGCTGTGTGACACGGCGCGTTGTCGTGATGCAGAATCCAAGTGTTTGCGATGTCTGGACGCACCCTGAGAACTCGTTTTCGCAATCTTTCGAGTACCTCTCGGTAGAAATGTTGATTAACTGTCTGCCCAAGAGGTACGAATTCTTTATGGACGATTCCGCGGCTGTCGAAAAAGGTAATGATCATGGTTTTCACCCTCGACTTGCTCATGCGAGCTTTTTTCGGACGAGGGGTGTTTGGAGACAGCCACTGCGAGCTTTGACGTTTGGTTTCTGGATCATATTGAAAAAACCAGCTTTCATCACCTGTGATAACTCGATCAAGCAGCGTGGGATCGTTTTCAACTTGCTCCAGACAGTCTTGTGCGAGAGCCATTCGATGCTGTTTTTGCTCAGCAGAAAGATTCTTTGGGACCATCTTCGCACACACCTTTCTCATCCCGAAATCGTTTATTAGAATCTGTCGAACGGTTTCACGGTTGATACCGAGTTCAGACGACACCATTCGAACCGTCAAACGACGATCTTCGCGGATTAGGGAGCGCACGCGCTGCGCATTCGCGTCGGTTCGCACTTCAACTGGTCTCCCTACTCGCTCTTCGTCTTCCACGTTCTCGCGGCCCTCTTTGAACTGCTTGTGCCATCGAAACACCTGGGGACGACTAAGTGAAGCACTACCATACACCTTCAATATTTTGGAATAAGTTTCCGTAGCGGTTTCACCCAATTTCGCACAAAATTTTATCGCGATGCGTTGCTCTAAATTTGCCTTTTCCATTTTCGTGACGAGCACTACGAACACGTGTTCACATAACGCGATACAGCGGACGAACTACTGCAACGAGAGAGACGGTGAACTTATCGTCGGAGAGAGGAGGGAATCCGCTACATACCGTATAAATTTCAAGGCCGTAGTGTTATCACGAGCGCGGCAATAAAATCAGTCTCATTACTTAATTGTCACACCTCGTATTTAAAAAAAATATAAGCATATGGTATTTTTACAAAAATTGTTGCTATGATTCATACATTTTTTAAAAAGATATACTAATTTAAGTTTAAAAGTAGAGACATACTGAAATTAGTAGATTTTATTAATCGTAACTTTTATGGGTTTTTTTTCTATTAGAAGTTGAAAAAGAAACAGAAAACATAACAAAAGCACCATAGTAAAATCAAAATATTCTCAGCTTTGTATTGGAGTTAATATAAATATAACATAATTTTATAAAAAAAATTGATCACTAGTGACTAATTAATTAAATAAAATTAAAATTATATTAATAATATTATTAATTTATAAACTAAATAATATTATACTCAAAAGCCACAAAAAATTACTGAAAAGTCGATACGTATTTCGGAAACAATGTTACCAATATCAACGCTAAACTTATACAATGCCATTTATGAATGATGCATGAACAATTAAATTGATTTAATTAAAGAATTATTATTAAATGATATTAGACAATTGTTATGTTAAAATAAATAATAATTACCGGACAAGATGAGATTATAGTATTTTGTCTGATNAAATAAATTATAATTACCGGAAAAGATAGGGTTTTTTGAAATGCACTGGTGTTGCTTGATTCCTTTATACCAAATTAAGTTTAAAAGTAAAACCATATTGAAATTAGTAGATTTTATTAATTGTATTTTTTATGAGTATTTTTCTATTAGAAGTTGATAAAAGTAGCGGTTAACATAACAAAAGCATCACAGTAAAATCAATATTTTCTCAGCTTTGTATTGGAATTAAAATAATACATAATTTGTCATTTATTAATGTATGATTGCATAAACAATTAAATTAAAAAATTATTATTAAATTATATTAAAAAAAATATTTTGTTATAGTAAATAAATTAAAATAAATTATAATTACCGGAAAAGATAGGGTTTTTTGAAATGCACTGGTGTTGCTTGATTCCTTTATACCAAATTAAGTTTAAAAGTAAAACCATATTGAAATTAGTAGATTTTATTAATTGTATTTTTTATTAGTATTTTTCTATTAGAAGTTGAAAAAAGTAGCTGAATACATAACAAAAGCATCATAGTAAAATCAATATATTCTCAGCCTTGTATAGGAGTTAAAATAATACATAATTTGTCATTTATGAATGTATGATTGCCATACCCCCTAAAACAGCCCCAGCCGTTTTCTCTCATTAGGAAGATGGGCGGTGTACACGGCCAAGAGTTTATGNTCCCTAAAATGGCCTCAGCCGTTTTTTCTCATTAGGATGACGGGAGGTGTACACGGCCAAGGGTATATGGTGAAAGGCATATGGGTCCTCATTCCCAGAAAGGTCATGAGTATAATTGAGTGTGCTCTCCTCATTCTCTTATCTAGTACAGTAGATATCACAAGTATAGCGGGTTAAAAGTAAATCTACATGTGGGGGTACATTATCATAGAAGAAGGAAGCATATACTATGAAAAAATGAATAGTTTATTAGAAATTACTTATTATTACAAAATTATTTAATATTAATTTTTTAATATGTTACACGTATATCAGAGCCGTTGCTAAATGTTTGTGTGGTGGTATACCGCACGAGGTCCCACAAATCAAGTCAATGACTAAAAAAATGAACTCAGCGGAATCAAATTGTTTTGCCAACGATTTCAAGCACTGACATTTGTTTATACTATGTAATTTCTTAGTTATATAAGTGAAATTTGAAATATTATTAATTTAATTTTAGCTTCGATGAGAAGCTGAGAAGGTATTGGTTTTACTATATTGTGTTTATTTTGTGTCTGTTACCACTTTTTCTCAGCTCTCACCTGTAATATTATATTATTACATATAATATTAATATATAATAAGATGTTATCATTTGTTCATGTATGTCACATATTATGATTATACAAGATCACCAAAACAGGGTTCTCTTATTTAAGATACAAAATAACCCTTTAATAATACAATAAAATCTCCCTCTTGTAGAAATTATTAAGTAACGCCTACACGCAGGGACCCTCTTTTAATTAACCAATTACAATACAAAGCCTCAGCTTCTAGGATCACGATAGAGATCGCTGGGCTACCCCCTTCACACTATAAAAAGCCATTTTTCCCCATCTAAACCAGTTCTTTTGACGATTTTAAAATACACAAAATCTACGACACTCTACTCAAGATTTCACTCTCCGGGACTTAGTCGATTTTTTAATTAATTTGGACTTAGAATATTTTTCAATTTAAAAACACTTAGTCGATTTTTTAATTAATTTGGACTTAGAATATTTTTCTTTAAAATTAAATGACACTTAGAAATTTTAAAGTGAATTTTGTTTTGGTGAATCTTTTAATTTAATTTAATTTGTTCAATCATTAATAATATTTTATTTTTCTTGTTATGAAAATAAACATCAAATAATATTTTAAACATTATATTTTTTTTAAATTATTTTATTTTAATAATAAATCCAACCTAAATTTAGATATTCATTTAATAATAAAAACTTATTGTGAGCTTTTCTTATTGGGTAGCTAGTCTCGTTGCTAATGTCTTTGTTTTAACAAACATCGCGCCGGCAGACAAAGCTAAAGGTCACAATCTTCTCAATTTAAATTGAGATTTAAATTTATTTGACTAAGTGTATTGCAACTCTATACTTATTGGGTAGCTAGTCTCGTTGCTAATGTCTTTGTTTTAACAAACATCGCGCCGGCAGACAGAGTAAAGGTTGCAACTAGACATTGTTCTAGAATTAGGTATATTAGGTTAGAATGTATTCGTAAGCCTATGCGTATTGGGTAGCTAGTCTCGTTGCTAATGTCTTTGTTTTAATAAACATCGCGCTGGCAGACAACGTAGAGAAATTTACGAATATATTTGCAGTGTTTAATTTTTGTCTTGGTTATTATTGTGCCGCATCCTTTCAAGGTGCTTTATTTTAGCACCGGGACACATTGGGCCACCACAATTCTGCCTTGATAAATTTTTTACATAGATATAGATATTTCTGAATCTTGTTTTGGCCAGGCCAGAGGAAAATTTAAGAAATATTGGTATCGATCTCTCAATAAAAAAAATTATACTCTCTAAAAAAAATACTTATTCAATAAACGTAAAAAAATCAATAAGTTAAAAAAAATCAGAATTGTTTTTATAATAAAATACAGAGTGTTTAAAATCTTTTACAAGTAAGATCAGTCTTAGACTTTGTGTAATTAAATCATATTATTTAAAGTCTTGAGTCGTTTTTTGTAAGCAATTATATAGACTATATTACATATAGTGTAAATCGTATACGTAGTGCGTTTAATACGGAAATCAACACTGGATTACTTAAAATATTATTGTATCACACAGGACGTAAGGTAAGTACAATTTAACCTTTGCTTTCGAACTTTCAACAATCTATTGCGTGATAAACCATTAATAATTAATGAGAGAAACAATTAATGAAAAAATTAATTTAAATAAAATCGAAGACAATTA